ATACAACTGTAATTTATCAAAATCTAAGTTAGTCCTTCCTCTATTTAATGCAAGTTATTTCTCTAAAAAAGCTTTACTTGTTTAGAAGTTATTACGAATCAAACAGGAGTACTTTTTTTTGGGACACTCGGTATATATATATATATATATTAAAAATCAAAGACCGTCAATCGATGCTGAATATTGCTTAGGATAATTATGTCAAGTTTCATTCCCATCGGACAAGTAATGACGGAACCTTAGGGTTTTTGCAAAGAGCGTCGCCCCCTAACGCCCCCTAACAACAACAACGACGACGACGACAACAACAACAACAACAACAACAACAACAACAACAACAACAACAACAACAACAACAACAACAACAACAACAACAACAACAACAACAACAACAACAACAACAACAACAACGACGGCAACGACGGCAACAACAACAACAGCAAAACAACAACAACAACGACGACGACGACGGCAACGACCACAATAACGACCACAACAACGACAACAACAACAACAACAACAACAACAACAACAACAACAACAACAACAACAACAACAACAACAACAACAACAACAACAACAACAACAACAGCAATAACAATAACAATAACAATAACAATAACAACAATAACAACAATAACAACAACAACAACAAGATTAGCAGCGATTGGGGAACAGTTCCTGGTCCAAAAATCTGTTTTCGGCTTTGGAAGGCCCAGTTTTAAATTGTTTCTCCGTAATGAATAATTCGAATTGTTACATTTTAGAATTTTGAACATCATTATTAGATCTCGTTTGTCCATGAGATTTTTTATTGGATGCCAGTGAAGGGTTTCAAAGACTTAGGATGATCTAATAGTGTAGTCAGAACTCAGAACTAGCTACAATCACTTTCAGAAGTTGTTGGGACACATGTAGTTTTAGATTGTGAGTGGATCATTACAGTTTTTTACACACAATACCGCTCCCCTCCCCCTCCCTCCACCCCAATCAATGTTGTTTAATCCAAAACACATCAGACCTGATGAGAAATTGGATACAACATTGAACAGGGGAGTTGGGGGGGGGGGGGTTGACGTTTGTTGAAATTCAAAGGTTTTGTGGCATCTGTCCCAAGACTTTTCAAACTGATTGTAGTTATAACCCGTGCAGCTCTCATTTGTAAGGGACCGGTCATTAGGGAGAGGGAGCTGGTAGAGAAAGACGCGTACGAGTGGTCAGATATTTTTGTGCATAAAAAAGGTGGGGGCAAAAATTTTTGTGCAATAAAAATACTTGCCCCGCATGACCCAGTCGTACCATAAAACCTACAGATAAAAAATCGAGAGCGGTAAAACTGTAGCAAACTCCAACACAACACCATGTACTAAACTGATTTCAACATAAACATGTACCTGATTGCGGGAACAGCTGATGACTCAATTAATGGAAAAGAATATATAAATTACGATACATGTATAAGGGCATAGTTGCCAACTCTCACGGATGCACCATGAGCATCACGGATTTTACTAAAACCTCACGGTGAGCTCACAGCTTGTTAATATCTCACTGATTATCGCTGATTTCGAAAACAACCCAACTGGTTCTTAAATATGTTGGCTTTGTTGCACATTTTAACTAGTAAGAGTGACTTCATTTGCGTTAAATTACATAAAACTTTTTTCATGTGAAAAAATTCATGCCATTAAGCCAAAAACAGATAAGCAAAACATCACTTCATGCAACCTCGTACTCTTGGGTATTCAACAATATGGTTTTGTATACCTAAATAAAAGCTACCAAAACTTGTATGTATAAGGTATAGAAGACTCTGAAAATGCCATTTCCAACGATCTAGAGACTCCATATTTTCAAAATTTTTCCGCTTAGCGCCAACTATGGTGGCGCATGTGGGTCCCCCAAAGCAAAATCTCACGAATGCTTTTTTCCAAAGTTGGCAACTATGATGGGGTAGTATGATTAAATGTGGCTTCTGTTTATATATAAGAACTTTAAATTACGAGTGTACCTTTTGTTATCTCAAAGTGGGCAACAAATTTTAGCATCTAATTTTACATTTCCTCTCCCCTGTAATTAATAACCAGTCCATAATTTCCATATTTTATCGATATGAGATTTGTTATTATCATGCCAAATGGTAGAGCAATTGTTAAAATGTGGTAAGACTAATAAGTTATAAATTGTAACTAATTCATCTTGTAATACAAAGTCCTTAGCTTTTCGTAAAAGGGCAATGCTTTTCGAAATCCTCTTACACTGTTCATCACTGTGCCTGTTCGATTTCGGTCATCATTTATGGTCATCATTGGTCATCATTTATGAGTCCAAGAACAGTATTTTCCCTTACCCTTTTTACTTGGTGTTCGCCATATAGTATCTTTGGAGTTTCGCGGATTTTGTCTAACCTTTGTTGTGACCAATAAAGATATACTCAGTTTTCTTACGGTTTAACGTTAACTTCTTACTTACAACAAAAGCGCTCCTTTAATATGCTATTAAAGTAGGATTAATGGTGTATTTTATTCGTGTTTAGTTGCACTTAATGCGATTTATTAAAGTTAATTAGTTAGGCCAACAATTTCAACGGGTAGCCATTTTTGAAATATTTGCTATACAAACTTGACAAATGATGAAAAAGTATTGAAATACGGAAAATTTCACGCTTCTGCCAATAACACACGCGGGCTGGTGACGGTAAACTGATGTCTCAATTCCATCGGAAAAGTCAAAGGAAATATTAATACTAGAAATACATGCATGCAACAACCCCTCGCCTATATTTTCCAAACATTGTTTCAACATGTAGTACTCGTAATGACGCCAACACTGAACGCAGGCTCGCGTTGCTCACATCATGTTAGTCCTGGCAACACGATAATTGTTGTTTTAATTTTTTGTACAAACCTGCAAAAAATAGATGAAACTTGAACACTTTTAAACACAGAACTATCAGTTTCTAAAATATATAAAGTAGTTATATTATTTTGGTTTCTATGGGCTTTATTTTAATGTAAAATTCGAACCGAAACTCTACGTATTAATAATTAAAAACGTTTATAATTGTGAATTGAAATTAACGGTTTTTGCCGATATTAATCTCATCAACTTATTACTCGCACTTTGAGATGAAATAAATTTAATTCGTACAGAACGCTAATGTAAATAATTTTCTTTCCTTTTTATCATGAACTTCTACAAAATTTAATTTAACTAAGAATCTTTCCCACACAATACATTAAATCAAATACAAAGTCATACTTGCTTAAACAATTGAAACAAACTTGCCCTTTGAGCCATACTTTAGGATTTCTCATACTAAATCAATTCTTATAAATGTTTACGTTTAAAAATTGAAAAAAAGGTTTTAGAATTAGTTATGTGAAACGACTTTGCAAGCTTTCTTACATGTATTTTTTATATTTTTCCCTTCTTCACTCCTGGCAAACAGCCATATTTTGAGATCAGTGTGATGACCACCCATACATCCATGAACCGCGCCCGCGATATTTCACGAACTTTAGACTTCGCTAGTGCGTTCCTTTCCCCGGGTGTAAATAGCCGGACGGAATTAGTACCCCCTCCCCCGGCTTACGCCCGGAACGGCGCGCCGCGCCGTTGGCTCGGGGATTGCCTGAACGCAACAACGCCTGCTCCCGGATCCCCACACTTGGTACGGACTGAGTACACGTGGCTAGCTTATTCAGCCTGTCGAAAAAAGCTGGAGTTCACATTGTCACGAACATTCATCACAAACATTCATTGTGATACAAAATTAATAATTACAATATAAAAACGGTCCAAATAAAACAGATGCAGTATCTTTCTTATAATTCCAACAAATGGCTCCAATCTCACTAGATTTAAAAGCAATGGTTGGTAGCAATAGTGCAGCCAACAATATTATTTACCCCAACTAGCTGCCATGGCCCTTGGTTCACAGATGGTAAACTTACTTTCACGAACCGTATTAACCCTATCTTACCAACGGTACCACTGCTACCAATCGACATCATTTTGAAGGGTACCTCAAATGCCATGGCCCTTGGTTCACGGATGTTAAACTTACTTTCACGAACCGTTACCGTATCTTACCAACGGTACCACTGATACCATTCGACATCCTTTTGAAGGGTACCCCAACTGACATGGCCCTTGGATCACGAATTGTGAATTTACTTTCACGATCCGTTACCCTATCTTACCAACGGTACCACTAGTACCATTCAACATCCTATTGAAGGGTACCACAACTGACATGGCCCTTGGTTCACGGCTGGTAAACTTACTTTCACGATCTGCAACCCTATCTTACCAACGGTACAACTGGTACCATTTGACATCATTTTGAAGGGTATTCCAACTGCCATGGCCCTTGGTTCACGGACGGTAAACAGGTAAACTTACTTTCACGATCCGTAACCGTATCTTACCAACGGTACCACTGGTACGGATGAACTGTACAATGGATACGAATTGACAACAATACCGATGGTAGATGGTAAATTTATGAAATTTATCGTGGTATTGGACCATTTTCCTTGTCTAAAGCTTTTGATAGCTTAGATCATTCGATTCTGCTTATAAGAAAACTTTCGAATATTGAAATCTCGAAGCCTGCGTTGTTTTGGTTTAAAACCTATTTGACAGGCAGGAGCCAATCAGTACGTATTGCGTCAGTGCTATCCGATGAATGTGAAATAACTCGCGGTGTTGTGAAATAACTCGCGCAGTTTCTTGATGAATCCAGAAAAAACTAAGTTGCTTATATTAGGTACTAGGCAAATGTTAGAACAAGTACCTGGAAATTTTCATATAACTATCCTTGGTGAGATATTACCCCAGTTGCTGTTGCAAAGGACTGGAGAGATTTCGTGGTGGGGTCTGTGGAGCGGATGGCGTAGGTGAGGCAGGGTTGAATGAAAGTTCTGATGGCTTCAAGTTTCCGCCATGGGGCAAGGAGGGACTTCTCGATCTTCTCTAGCCTACTCGTTAGTTCATCAATGAGTGTTTGAAGATCGAACACATCCAGGATGAGGCCAATGGGTATACCAAGGAATCGATAGTGGTCTTCGCGTTTGAGGGCAGGTATAGGTTCTCATTGGACAACAAACCGGTTTGACTGGAAGCGGCGCATGCTTGTCCATTGACAGGCTGGTACATTTGTCTGGGCGGAATTGTAGGCTGAGGGAGTCAGCAGCGGATGAGACAGCATCAAGGAGTGTCTGGAGAGAATCTTTGTTCCTGGTCAGGATGACAAGATTGTCGGCATACGCTAGGATGGATATGGCTTGACCATGGTGTTGGAGTGAGCCCCGGGGAAGTTCGTGAGCTTTGGCAATGCACCTTCTGATGATCAGTTCCACGGACAAGTTGAACAGGGTGACGCTGAGGGGGCATCCTTGCTTGACATTCGAGTGGATTGGGATCGATTGGGTTTTGCCAAGAGGGGTGACTACTTCTGTGGTTGCGCCAGTATAGATGTGGCCAATCATCTCCACCAAGTCTGGAGGGAAGCCCATGTGGGAGAGGGTTGTGAGAAGAGCATCATGAGGAATACTACCAGAGGCGTTGCGAACATCAAGCCAGGCAAGGCACAGGGAGCGAGGTTGTCTTCGGGCATCATTGACAATGGACTCGAGGAGAAAATTGTGTTCATAGCAGCCTTCGCGAGGGCGTGCACTCTTTTGCTCGTTGGAGTGGAGGTCGTGGTGTAAGGAGAACGAGGTCATACGTTTGGCAAGGATGGCCATTAAGAGCTTGCACAGGCAAGACATCAGGGCGATGGGGCGGAAGTTGCTAGCGTCGGATGTGTCCTCTTTTTTGTGAATCAGGATGGTGGTGGCGGTTTTCCATTCCGCAGGGACATTTTTCGCGTCAAAACAATGGCGGAACATTTTAGCTAGAATTTTACACTTAGGATCGAGAAGACGAAGGTGACGGTATTCCAGGCGGTCTTTTCCCGGCGCAAAATTCGACATAGAGCGGAGTTTGGTGGCCAGCTCATCAGGAGAGGGTGCAGCGAACAGAGTGTTATCGGTTTCAGCCGAGGGGACAAAGGAGGATAGCTCTTCGAGGAGTCGGGTAGTGTTGCAGGGGCGAGGACCAAAGGTTTGGGTGAAGTAGGTGGTGGCATCCTCAATGGTACCATCATAGCCGGACTTTCATCTCCAAAGATTTTGCGGGCAGCACGTTTCTTGGAAACACGGTACAGATGTTGGAGTCTTTTAGCAACTAGAGGGTCCGAAGGAAGGGGGCGACACCGATCGACTGGGGGGCGAGCAGAAGGACGGCCAGGTCTTCGTTGAGCAGGACGGGGAAGTTGTTGAGAGGAGAGGGATCGGGCAAGGTCGACAGCTTCTGATGTAAATTGGCTGGTAAGTCGCTGGAAGTCATGGAAACCATTTCCCCTTTGAACTCAAGATTATGTCTTTGGCGAAAGTCATGGAGCGATGTGGTGGTTTGAGCTGTGGGAAAAGAGGCTTTGGTGGGGTTTTCAATGAGGGGGTCTTCTGGATCTGATGTTAGGTTAGGTGGGGTTTGTGAGGGACGAAGAGGGGGGATAGAGGATGTTTCAGGTTCAGGTAGGTCTTCAAGGATAGGTGGAGAGAGGTCGAAGAAGTCGGCAGCTCGTGGGCGGGTGATGGCTGTTGCAGAAAGTTGTTGTGGAGGTGGGATAATTGTTTCAGGAACGGAAACAGTGTTTGGCTTCGGTGGCGGAATAACAGAAGGTGTACTGACTGGTATGGAGGGTTGCCGAGTCTGTGGAATGTTGTTGGTTGGTGTTCGCCATTAGTGGTGGGATAGCAGGCGATGGGGCAGTCAGATTCACAGGTGAGGCAGGTACACTGGGGGCGGGTGTATTTCCACAAGCATCAAGGAAACGACGCATAAGAGTAGCATTTGCTTCGGGAGACATGGAGTTCTGGGTATCAGGTAGGGTTTGACTATCCAGACACTCAGGAGACTTGGGTGGGGGGAGTGGACAGTGGTAGGGAAGATGGAGGAGAGGAGGAGGTTGAGGAGATATCAACTGTGGAAAGACTTGATGGAGTTGGGTCAAGAGTGTCTTGGTTGCAAGGTTTGGAGGCGATTGGAGTGAGGGGGAGACGGTTTGAGCTATGCATTTCCAAATGGTGATTAACATCGTCACTGGTCAGTAATTCGACACAGACAGAGCAGGTGTAGGCTATTTGTAGGGCATTGCTGCTACCATGTCGGGAAAAGCGGGTGAGGAAACTTCTGGGAGACTTGACTTGTTTTGCCTTGAACGAACATATCGGACACTTGATGGTTTGTCGTCTCAGGTGTAGGACGAAAGGTACAGAATCCTCGACGATCTCTTTCAGTTCGTGATTGTACCTCATCAGGTGGGTATGACGGGTCTTCAGGTGGACAAAGGTCTACTCGCATGTCCCACAGCTGAGTCGCTCCTTACAAGGTCGGTCGCCTGGGAGAGTTGGCGAATGAGCTAACGGAGAGCTCATTGTTGAGAAAAGAGATGAAGTATCTCGCCTTGACAAGTAAAATTGTCCGGCGTTAGACACAGTAAAATAATAAAGTAGGGCGCATCAGGGCGCAATGCGACTCAATGGGTTAAACAGCAAGGCTGGTTAATGTAAAGGCCGATTTACACTTTTATATCAAAGTTTCTGTACTCAACGTAAGCAGCTTTGATAAAATTATTGACAGCATATAAATACCTTTCAAAGACTATGGCTAATTTAAAAGTTCTTTGAACAAAGATTTTTATCACAAACTTTAATAATATACAGTTATAAACTTTGATAGTTTAAGTCAAATTTAAATCAATGCTAATTGACTCTTACTAAATAACAAATTGTTCATTAATTTGGTATACTCTGCCATCGCAGAGGTAAAAACATTTATGAGGTCACCTGGGTTGTTGTTTTTATCCTGGAAAATAAGATTCTGTAGTAACGTAAATCCAAGCTTAATGGGATCTTGAATAATGGGTATCCAGAAGATAGAACATTACAATCAATACCAGGATAATTGTCTATAATAATTGTCTATTTTGTTATTTTCTTTCCTTCTGTTTGTAAATTTCCTTGAAATGTATATGAGATGTTGGTCCCAGAACCGTAACTTCGGTATTACGACTGAGGGATGTCAACTTGTTTTCCCCGACCAAATGGGCGTGGCCGAAGTTCTTTAACCAAAATTGCTGGCGAGCTGGGGAGGAAGAGAAAACATTTTCGGACATACCGTTTTTCGCTAACTTTCGAACTAATGTACCTTAATTTGTACTATTTTTCTGTAATATTTTCGTAAATTTATCAAACATTTTCCTAGAACTATTACTTTTCAATAAATTACGTAAAATTCTTTGCTGAATTACATATTAACAAGCCCGACAAGCGTGTCCTTAAAATTATATTGTTAAAATTGCCCGACAAGACTGCAATATTTACGGCCCTGGTTGGTCCATGACAACAAATTGTTGTTTTCTCACTTCTAAAATGGAATGCTTTAAAACTTCTTATTATATGGCAAGCATTACTTTTCTGTGAAATGGCGGACTGTGATTAGCCGAGAAGCACTTTCAGCGGTCCATTATATTCCCGTAATCGACCAGCGGTCCATTTAATTTAATTTGTTATTAATAAGATATCCGCGGTTTTTAGTGGAAAAGAAGGAAGACATTGGGTTTTCGACCAAATGTGTACCACGCTGCTAATATGCATTTCAAATCATGCATTCCTTATTTTTTTAAAGTATAAATGCCTATAAATGTCTTACAATAAACTTTTTATTTATTCTCTTGCACCTGTACGCCAAAGGAGAACTAAAGCTATTTTGGTCCCATGGATTACACCTGCTATTAAACAACTAATGAGGAATAGAGAGTACTAATGAGGAATAGAAAGCCATTCGATTTAAATCATCAATTCACTGGAATAAATACAAATCCTTACGGATAGGGGACTGTACATATTCAAATGATTTCAAAAATATTTGGTTCCTTATAAATTCCCTTACTGGAGGGGAATAATAAATCTTCCAGTATTACAGAAATATCAGTGAATGACAACAGCATTACTGATTCTATTTTTATCGCTGAATCGTTTAATGAATATTTTGCTAACATTGGCCCTATAGCCTAGCTTCTGAAGCTAGTGAAGAGCTTCTTACTCAACATACTACGAATAGCTACAATAATTCCAATCCCACAGCAGATACGATATTCCATTTCCATCGTATTTATGTAGAAAACATTTTTCTGGCATTAATGAACTTTAAATTAAAGGGTATTGGCAACAAAAAATTTTATTGATTTTATTGCTTCATCTGAAAGAGCATTAAAAAATAAGCCGATTGGCCGTTTACTGCTCTATTCTATCTCATCTGGTTCCGAAGTTATACGCAAAAATGTGCAAAATATAAATTGCTGATTCAGCACATTCTGTGACGTCATAAGCTGGGTAAGTATGTTTATTGAATAGTAAACTAAAGCATAGCTGAGTTATTATTGGCTCAAATCAAATGAAATTTTGCATACAGATAGTACGTGATGAGATGCATGGGAAAAATACTTCTAATTTCGTTGTCAAGGCAACACAGTCGTTCCCAGGCCTCTTACACTGATTTTAAATAACTAGTTGCATTTATCTATAGTGTATGTCATTTTCGAATTATTATCATGCAAGTAGACTTTTGGCATGCATAGGTATCATACACATACTTCTGATATTATTTTATTCTTATGAGTACCTTGAATAAAGCTGTTTCATAAAATTGGCGCAAGGGGCCTGGAAACGACATCGTTACCTTGGCAACAAAATTAGAAGTGTTTTCCATGCGTCTCATCATGTACAATCAGTATGCAAAATTTCGTTTGATTTGGGCCCATAATAACTGAGCTATGCTTCAGTGTAGTATTCAATAAACATACTTACCCAGCTAATGACGTCACACGTTGTGCTAATCAGCAATTTATAGTTTCACATTTTTGCGTATAACTTCGGAACTAGATGAGATGGAATAGAGCATTAAACGGGAAATCGGCTTATTTTTCATGCTCTTTCAGATGAAGCAATAAGATAGATGAAGCAATTTTTGTTGCCAATACCCTTTAAGATGAATAAATCTACTAGCCTTAATAAAATTTCAGCCAATAATGTTCTCAGACTCTGTGCAGATATTATTACCCCATCATTAACATATATATTTAATTTATCACTTCACACTGGTATTTATGTTGATGACTGGAAACGCGCGCAAGTAATTTCAATTTACAAATCTGAAGATCGACGGAAATGTGAAAATTATAGACCAATTTCCATACTCCCCATTGTAAGTAAAGTTTTTGAGAGAGAGAGAGGTTTTTCGACAGCTTTATGGCTATCTTTCCAATAACTCATTACTTTCTAAAATCTAATCAGGGTTTAGACCTAAACACTCAACCCTGTCTGCGTTGATACAAATGTGTGATAATTTACTTAAAAACATGGATAGTGGTCAAATAAATTGTATAGTCTTTCTTGATGTTAGAAAAGCCTTCGACTCCATAAATCATGAAATTCTGATTGATAAAATGCGTAATTTTTTCGGAGCAACAGGAAACCAACTAAGATGTTCGAATCACACCTGAATAACAGGGTTCAACAATGTCTTATAAACGGACAACTATCGAGCCCAAAGAAGATAATATGCGGAGTTCCACAGGGGTCCATCCTTGGTCCTCTATTATTTTTATTATACATAAATGATATGCCTGATTAGTTAAGTCACTTAACTCCTTCACTCTATGCTGATGACGCGGAAATTTATGCATCTTCTAATGACTGCAATGACCTTGTTGACAAGGTAAATATTGATCTCGAAAAACATACGCAAATGGATGATAAAAAATAAACTTCAAATCCACCCCAGTAAATCGAAACATATGTTCATTGGATCTCCCTATAACCTTAAGAATAAAGTGTCTGGTAAATAATTTTAATTGATAATAAGCTAGTGCCCAGGATTAATAAATATTCATGCCTTGGCGTGACTATGGACGAAAGGTTGTTTGGGATAAACATACTGATTCAATTTGTTCTAAAGTTGGTGCCGGTATTGGTGCAATGAGACGCGTTAAACCTTTTGTACCACTGTCGATAACCAAAATGCTATATAATGCTATTATACAGCCTTATTTCGATTATTGCAGCCGGTTGTGGGATAATTGCGGAATTGGGCTCAAAGATAGATTGCAAAAATACCAAAATCGTGCTTGAAGAGTAATTACTGGGGCAACATACGATATTCGGTCATCTGAGTTACTCAATAATCTAAATTGGAAACCTCTCGAATAAGACGAAATTACCTTAAATCTATTTTCATCTATAAAATTCTGAATGGCCAAACCGCACCCAGTCTTAAAGAAGCATTTCAATTTAATAATGAAAGACATAATACTTGCAATCTTAGAAATAGGGATACTGATTTAGCACCACCTATGCTGAAAAAAGAAATCGGCAAGAGGTGCTTCAGTTATAATGGTGCCTTAATGCATTGGAATAATCTTCCCCATGAGGCAAAAATTGCCGAATCCTTAAGCTCTTTCAAATCGATATTGAAACAAAGAATGAGTTGAAATTTTCTTCTGTGTAATCGTTTGTTATATTTTGTATTTCTTGTATACAGTATAGTTAATTTCTTGTAAATAGGTAATTTCACGCCCCTCATGGAAACCAGCCTTCCAACGGCTATTGAGGCTAGCGTGGTTTAAATAAAGTTTTGTATGTATGTATCTATATGCAGAGAATTATCGGACCTCGGTCTTTTTGTACAAACCTCACCCCACGGGCTCGGTCTGTATTAAAAAGACCTGGATCCGATATTTCTCTGTACAGACTTCTCGTTCGGTTAAATTAATAAGAAATTAGTATTCAATCGGTTACATGTCACGGTGTCGCGAAATATGATTGGTTAGGAGGTTAGGGACATGGATTGGATTACATTTCGTGATTGCGTGACATGAAAAATTAACATAAATTTCGCGCTTGAACTAATGCTGCCACTTTTTAATGCTGCAATATTCAACCACTGATCTATACATATTACTGGTGGTCGTGCCAATTTTCGTTTTCTCTCGAACAGGGCCTTTTTTAATCATATAGCTGGGGGATACTATCGAGTGTCGTTCGAGCTGAACGAACGTACTTTTTTAACTCACAGCTTTATTGCTTTATATAACTTTATATTACTATTAGCAATGTCTAAAAATGCAGATATTAAACGTTTGAAGGAAGAGAATAAAGATTTGAAGATTCAAATTGAAAAATTGGTGGAAAAAGTAGATAATTTAAGTCAAAATGTCTTGTCGACGAAAGAAGCGAGCAGTCCTAATGGCCGATCAGGCGAGCAAGAAGAACCCTTGTCGTCTGAGAAAAAGAAATCAGTTGAATTCCTCAGTAATCAGTATGATCAAGTCCTGAAGGAACTTGACCAGATAAAAGCTGAAATAAAAGAAGTATCGAAGAAGTATACAGAAATTTCAAATGCTATAGCGGCGATAGAAGACTATAGCTTCAATTACAATGTGAAAATAGTTGGTATGCCTGTACTCAGCGAGCATGAAAGAGCTGACGAAACAGTTGAGATTTGGCTACGTCTATTTGCAGCTCTAGGTGTAAAAGATATTTCTCCCTATGATATTGATATTGCCCTCCGGGTACCAACGAGAAGAAATTTCCCGAACAAACCTAATCCAATCATTTGCAAATTCACCAGACGAATTTCAAAGGAAAAGGTTATGGCTGCACGAAAGAATGTATTTAGGATCTCTCCTAAATACATTCCTCTTCCATGAACAATTATCATTGGAAGGGCTACAACTTTATGTATAGGTTATTTTGAGGCAACGAGGGGATATGTTATTTATTCACCGAGGCGCGCAGCGCCGAGGTGAATAAACACATATCCCCGAGGTGCCTCAAAATAACGTACTTATTTTTCACATTGCGAGGTCGCGTTAATGAGTCAGAACAGAAATAATTCTTAATGCCATATTGCCTTCGTGATGTTGTTTTTTCTCATTTTTTGTGGTGCAAAGACATTGCAGGTGAATATAAGAGGGATTATTAATTGCAGGTGAATATTAGAGGGGATTATTAAACGGAAATTGATTAGAGGGGAATATTGAATATATTCCCCGCTAAGAACAAAGGAAACCGAGCAGGGTGAAAAATAAGACTTTTTTGCGTGAAGCGAAGTTATTTAAAGAAGCAAATGGATACAAATTCTGTTGGGCGAAAAATGGTTTTATCTTTCTTCGAGAATCTGAAAGCACGCGTGCCTATAAGGTGAAAAATCTGGTTAATCTGAGAACGTGACGCTAAATGGAACTTTAAGTTACATACTGAGCTAAGCTAACATTATAATATAAATTGTATGTGTGTGTGTGTTGTATTTCTTGAGAATTAGTTTTAGTAAAGCAGAAACGAAATGTTAGCTAAGCATAACCAAAGTCATGCTACAATGAACAGAGAGTTGTGTAAAGAAATACCCTTCTATAATTTTAAAGGAGATTTGGCCTCAATCTCCAAGGGTTTCTCTGAGTTGAAATCTAGGAGAGACCTTGAGAAATTGGCAGGCTTCCATGATTTAAATTTGTTTAATCTTAATACCATGCACGATAATAATTTAGACCTAAATAATTAGATGTCATTTCAGCAATTACAAAGCCATTATTATTCTCCTCATAGTTTTAAATTAATGAAAGACAAACCCGCATTATCTAGTCAGCAAGAAAACTTATCTAACATAACAATATTAGAAGCTTAAATTTAAATTTTGAAAGGTTACAAAGTCATTTATTTAGATGAGCATGATTATCGCTTCAATATTATAGGTCTTATCGGAACAAAGATCACATCAATAACTATGTTAATTGCCCACAAATTCCAGGGTATGACTTCGAATTTGTACCAACTCCTTTGAGTTCTGGTGGAGTGGGAATGTATATTGATAAGTCATTAAGTTATGAAGTAATAGAAAAAAGTTCTGATGAAGCGTTTCAAGCATTATGGATAGAAATATCTTTGTTCAAAAGAAAAATATTATTGTTGGAGTAATCTATAGACAGCATAATTCGCCGCATAATTTTAAAGAATATTTTGATGAGGTTATTGAAAAGTTTACAGCGGCTGGAAAATCATTATGTATTATGGGAGATTTTAATCTAGATTTATTAAAAATTGAAAGCTCTTGTTATAGCCGAGTTTTATTTTTGTCTTTGCAAAGTTGTTACCTCATTCCCTCCATTGATAAGCCTACTCGGGTTTATAATAATTCTGCAACATTGATAGATAATATTTTCATAAATACGCCGGAACGAGTAACAATTAGTGGGAATATAATTTCTGATATAACTGATCATTTCTCTCAATTTTGTATTTTTAAATCAACTAAGGATAAAATAGAAATACCAATAAAGCAACAACGACGTGACTTTTCCCAATTTTCTGCTGTTAATTTTAACAATGAATTGTCTCTCATAGATTGGGATGAAATATTCCTAAAAGGGGATAGGGATATTGATAAAATATTTTGCTTTATTTACAAAAAAATTAATGCGTACTGAATAAACACGCACCAATCAAACTGATATCGCGCCGTCAAGCTAAACGGCTCTCGCAACCGTGGATAACTAAAGGAATAAGAACAGCTATCAAACACAAAAATCAACTATATGCTGACGGAAAACAGTCTGAGTATAAAATATACAGAAATCGAATGCAAAGATTAATACGATTAAGTAAAGCTAATTATTATTGTGAATATTTTAACAAACATTTGACGAATATTAAGAAAACATGGGAAGGAATTAATACTATTATGAATCGTAAAACTCAGAAATCATCCTGAATTCAAGCTATTAAAGACCATAATAATGGTAATAGACTTATAAGAAACGTAACCCATATCCCAGATATATTAAATAATCATTTTGAATCAGTTGGACATAAATTGGCTAACCAGTTACTAGACCCGCGAAAGCACTATTCCGACTTTCTTATAAAATCTAAATCTCCGCGAGATTCGTTTTGTTTTAATCTAATTACTCCTGATGAAGTGAAACTTGAGATTTTAGCACTTCCAATCAACAAAGCACACAACCTCTTACTCAGGGCCTTTGCGCGGTTCAGAGGCTCTGGTACGGGAAGCAAAGGCCCTGGTAAACACTGGTCATGTGACTCCAAAAATATTGGACATTACGTATAATTTAGTTTTCAATCCGGGGGGAGCGGAGCCGATTGATTTTATCAAACATGGCAGCGCGAAGGCGCGACGTTTTCGAGTTTTTATCCCCGAGCCGACGGCGCGAAGCGCCGTGCGAGGGTACTAATTCCCCCCCGGCTATTTACACCCGGGGAAACGAAAGCATTAGCGGAGTTTAAAGTTCATCAAGTATCGCGGGCGTGGGTGACCAACGGTGTTGAGTGCGTGGTCATCCTCACTGATCTCAAAAATATGGCGGAGAGTCATGAATAGCGGACACTGATTGGTCCAATTTAAAGTTTGCATCATAACGACTGTATGACGACAGCGAAATAGCAAACATTTCTTGATTTGATCACAGATTTGATGATTGATAAATTTCTTGCAAATATACTTCAATTTTACTCGCATTTTTGCAAGATTTTGTAAATTTCAAGATAGAAACGGCGAAAGAATCGGCTAAAAGAAGGGAGCCGACGTTAACGAAGGTAAGTTTGTGTTAAATATTGATTTTATAATTGCTTTAAAACCCGACGGCCTTTGGCCCTTTGCGTATATGAAATAACTAAACAAGACAGCATATAATTTCAGTCAATTCAGTGTATTATTAATATTGATTCCTTTTTTATTATATTGAATTTTTTACTAAAAAGAAAGCAAAGTTATTTGCATGCGAGAATTTGAAATCATTTTGTTGCAAACTCAAAGTTTATCGATAAAGCCATTTAATTAAAGCCAGGCAATTTAGTTTTATAAAGAACGTTTTAAAATGTTTTGCGAAGCTTTTGTGGTTGAATTTTACCTTAAATTGAAGCTTATATTACGTATAATAACATACCTAACAAATATATGTTGGGAAATTGATAATTTTGTAATTAAAATTGATATTTTTAGGCAATTTTTCATTTGTAAGAATATTCTTAAAAAATTATCGTGTTATTACCATGACAACAACTTTGGATACTTCATGTTTGGAAAATACAATGGTTTTGTCAGCAAGGCGAGGGTTTCTGCATGCATGTATTTTCTAGTATTATTATGATAAATAAAACTTTCCTAGTGAGATTTAAGAGTGGGTATATATTATCTATGCATTCTACGAGCTTTCTTTCAACAAATTGTGGAATAGCTAACAGTAATACTTATCAAAGGTCGAAGGGCGAAGATCAAACTGAGAGAAAACTAGTCGAGTGATCTGTCTTTAATTTATAAACTGTCTATTTTGTATCCAATGCAGCTGCTTGTGTGCGACGTTTTATAAAGAATAAAAAAAACATTGTTGATTATAAGTAATTTTTATGTATTGACCAAAGAATATCACTTGGGATTTTATTGTACTTTTATGGAAGGATAAATCAGGGAACATCTATGTAAACGAAATTATTCATGTGTATTAAACATGTTGTTATCAAAGCAGAATATTTTGAAACAATTAACTGGTCGAGTGACAGGTTGGTTTCCGTATGTATGTAGTTTAAAATACAGTTGTGAATGAAATTATACACAGTATCTTGAAACCTTTGTGTGTGTGAGTTAATTTCATATTTATTTTTTTGGGATGTATCATCTATATTTCTGTTTGTCTGGAAGGGGGGGGGGGGTACCAATCCTGAATCATGAGAAATAATATACAGTGATCTTGAAACAATAAATTTACTATGAATCTTATATCAGTGATATGTGACTTAGGAGTCTTAAAGGCAAATAACAGTCTGTATACTGGGTGTGCGTTCACCTATTTGTTTACATTTGCAGTTACTGTACATCGGTTCATGATTTATGAAATTTGAACCAAAGCTGTAACATAATATTAGTCATGGCACAAGTCACTAATAATTTTAGGGTAAATATTTTTCTGAAATACTTCATTTGTCAGTTGCATCTTATAGGCTTATGAAAGACCTTTGCTACAACCCCAAGAAAACATGCCTTTTACCAGGAGATCAATTAAATTCTCTGCTTCAACCAGATTAACCACACAAATGTTGTTGTTACCATTGTGACTACCGACACTTTTTACAAATAATACACCGATAGTTGAGCACCGAGACTCTGACTGACATATCGTACTTTGTTTTCAAATATCTTTGGCTTTGGTTAAAAACCAACCATTACATTCTTAAACATTTTAAATACTTCGGCCTACATAACTTCCATAATGATGGTATTACTTCTTTCCCATAAAATTCTTTTGGGTTTAATTGAAGTATTATTCACAGCTGGTCTAAAAAATTGGGTGGTTTGATGCATCATACTTTCGTCAGTAAAATGAAAAACCTATTCAGTCCTATCCGGCTATGCGGAGTTAATAAGAGACACAGAGGCTTTAATAAGAGACACAGAGGCTTAATGAATATATGGTTACACTGAATTTTATCAGTAAGTAAATTTCATTTTTTACATCCTGAAACCAAAAATCACCATATTATGCATGAATTACATATCACTTTCACTTGTCACAGAGTGAACATACCAAATTCAAACAACATTCACACTGTTTCTAGATGAAATAATCAACTGATTTTTTGGGCAAACAATATAATTCATGAGGGGAAAAAATAAATATTTATATGTGTGCACATAGTTTCA